GGGAAAACCAAAGGGTCCCAGTGTAAGGGTGGGTTGGTGTTTGGGGGGGGGGGGGTCATTTGAAGGCAGAATTTAGGGGTATAGCAGACCTTATTGGTAAATATTTTTATCAGATTGTAATCTGTTTTTTGTAGATATTTGCACTGGCGCCTCGTCTCTTCATGTACTTCCCTGGTACCCACCACACAGTGTTCAGGAATTTTGACAAGATGACTGAATTTGTGATGAAGAAGATCAGAATGCATGAGGCTACTCTGGATGAGAACTGTCCCAGAGATTACATTGATTGCTTCCTAATAAAGATGAGAGAGGTGAGGCCTAAATTGCTCCCACTTCAATGTGCAAGAAAGCAGAATGAGATCCAAAAAGTAGCAACTGCTCCCTGTGCTCCAAACAATGTTGGTGCTCAGAACTAGCTGAGATACAGCATGGAAGGAAATCAGAACTCAATGATCTCTATGTTATGCTAAGTCAGTATTTATTGCAAACACAATAAAAATAGCTAGTGGGCATTGCTTCCCAGTTTCAGGTTTACAAAGACCTCCAAAGGGTTTGTTAACCCAAAATGTATATTTCAGGTTTGGTAGAATAGATGTCAGAGAGTTAAACCACCAAAAGATTCCTCATGGTCACTTTGGTGGCGAGCTCTCTGCTCAGTATTGTGGAGACCCCAAAAGATATGTTAAACCAGTTCACATTTGTAACTGAAATATGATGGACATGAGAAATACAGATTTTATACACAGGTTTCTTTTTGGCACGTCTCACCATGTACGGTTATATCTTCTCATATTTTAGATACAAAGTCTTACTTAGCCACTATTCATGTTACTGTTCTCATCAGTTTTTAGTTAGTGGGATTTGTTTTTCAGCGTGTTATTAAAATATTTGCTGTAATCACATTTTTAAGCCATTTGATTGTCCCTGCACTCTCTCATCCTGTGATAGACCGTAAGCCACAGATACAATGGATGTACACACACCTCAATCTCTCCAGTTAGACCGAGAATGCCAGATCCATCCCATTAATCAAATCAGTCACTCTGTAGTGATATACACTTGAGTTGACATTAGCATGATGCAAAGCAGTTCCTCATGGAATTCCTTGTATCCAAGTATCATTGGCAGCATCAACAAAGCAACTGTGTATGCATCATATAACCAGCACAGTATTGGTTCTCTTCATGTCACTTTCCATTTGGCAATGCAGCAAGGTATTAACATAATACAGTGTAGCCCTGTTTCGGAGGGGGTCATATGAGATGACTGTCTCCAATCAGCTACCACTGCCAACTTGAAAAACTTGAGCCTCTGCTAAGTGGGAGTATGAGACTGGATATATCTTTAAGCGACAGTGCCTCCACCCAGCTTGGCCTTGTAGTGTACAAGTTGAAAATTACCTGGTCCCTGGGCATATTCTGTACTTACAACTCTGATCAGTAGTGGAGCTTCAGTCAATTGGAATGTATTTTAAGTGGACTTTTCTAGCTGATGATGTGTCCTGCAATCTACTGGTGCTAATTGATTAGGGGAGTTTAAGACCTGCAACAGCCTATACGTCTACACAAGCCCATCTTCTTTTAATTGTTGGTGGTCTGTACACTTGAAAAATGACTCTAAATATAAAGCAGAGGACATGTTGTCTCCCATAACACTTTCTTGGTTTAAGTTTCATAAATGTATTTAAAGGGTCAAGGGTCCTGGTGTTCACAATGTGGTATCATTGTTCATATTTTCCTTTTTTTTCCCTGCAGGAAAAGGACAACCTCAATACAGAATTTAACTTTAAAAATTTGATTGTCAATGCCATAAATCTGTTTTTTGCTGGGGCGGAGACCTCAGGCACCACCCTGAGATATTCCTTACTCATTCTGCTGAAATACCCGGATGTGAGAAGTAAGTATCCAACCCCTTCAATATCAAAGAACATCTCTTTCCTTCCTTATTAAAACATATCTCTGTTAAAAAAATAATGTATTTTTTCTTTGGATAGAACAGAGTGGGGATGTATCAAGCAGCGAGCGCTGTGTTCTCAGCACTTCCTGCTTCAGAGCTGTCAAAAACCAACTGAAGTGTCGGGCAAACAGACGATCAAGCACAATCCTGTGCTTGATCGTCTGTATTGGAGGCCAGGGGAGACATTAGGGGTTTAATAGGCTTTAATATGTCTTCAAAAAGAGAACCTGTTACCTCCAAATGCTCTCACATAGGGGCTGGTTACTCCCTTTGTAATAGCAGAATTTAAGTGAAAAAATAAATAAAAAGGCGATAAGTAAAAAATAATAACATTTACCTGAACAATACAAGTACAAGATCACAAGGGACAGAATAGCCTCCAGCAGCTGTCCATCTACCAGTTTGCAGTATGAAGAAGGGAGGAAGGAGAGTGGAGCTGGGGAGTGTCTTGCCTTGCTGTGTTTGTGGGGACACAGCTTACTAGCGTAAAAGTGGCTCCACACGATATCAGGGTTCAGTTCTCAGGAGACCAGCTGATCCTACAGGAAGCTAAAACTTGTAAATATCAAGGAGCAGTATACATGGTCAATGATTTCATATAATCACTTTAACCTAAAAAAAAAAAAAATATTTTGACTGCCACAACTAAGGGCTTGTAAGCTGCATTATATTACATTTCTTTTCCTGAGTTTAGATATACTTAAATGTAACCACTACATTATATAAAGCTCTGTACCCATGTCATCCTATTTTCATTGGAGGGCTGTTAGAAGCAAAACTTTTTTATTGAATAATGCAGTGCACACAATGCTGACAATAAGCAGAGTACAGTAACCTTTATCAACCTATGCGTTTTCAGTGTGTTATAGCCAGACCAATGAAAGATAATTTCTGAGTGGTGGTTATGGGTTTCTGAATTGTTCCCTTGCTTAAAACTGGAAGCTGGTTATAAGGTTTATAGATTAAATATAGAGTAGGTAAAATAAGTTAGTAAAAGTAAGTAGATTAAATTTATTCATATTACTAATCAGTAAAATCCTTTACAGTGAACCTCTAACATGGTTCTGTAAAGCAAAGTTGCACCGCAGATAGTTAGCAGACATCCTCCATTGCACCGTACATTTATTTGACATTGCCTTCCCAATGCATTGCACAAATATTCTACAAAGATACCAACTCTGAAAATTGGCTTTACATAGAACTAGAAAACCCTTTCACTTCCTGCATCCCATTTGGTGGGCTCAGGCATTTAGCACTGCATGATATAGGCAAAATATAGAGTTAGTAAAAGTAAGTAAAGTAGATTGAATTTATTCATATTACTACTTATTAGAATGCTTTATAGTGAACCTCTAACATGGCACTGTAAAGCAAAGTTGCACTGCAGATATTTTGCAGACACCCTCCATTGCACCCTCCATTGAGTTTACTCTGCCTTCCCAATGCATTGCACAAGTATTTTATAAAAATTCCAACTCTGAAAATTGGATTTGCATAGACCTAGAAAACCCTTCCAATTCCAGCACCCCATGTGACGGGGCACAGGCATTTAGCACTGCATGGTATAGGCAAAATATGTAAACATTTTAAGGAGATTGTCATGGTCAAACATCATGACCCGACCAATGGTTTTTCTTGCCTCTTATTCTGTTTCCTTGTTGCCAGCAATTATAACAGATTTCCTGGGAGGCCGCAGAAGGACACAGCAGTCTGTTAAGTCCAGCCAAAACATGTTTTCTTAGTTTAGGGTAGAGTAGGGGAGAGTTCGAACCTACTCATTTTGTTCTTCAATCAGCCAGCTGACTTGAGGAAATGCGTCATGGCAAGGGAAAAAAGCCACCTGAACAACAACTATTATTTTCTGTCATTGCATCTTATGTATTGCCTATTCCTTCCTGGCATTATTCATAAAACCGGTACCAGTCAAAACTGTATTGTCAGATTGTCACAAATGCTTTTATAACAATCAGTGCATCCGTATGTTTCAACAGAGAAGATCCAAGAGGAAATTGATTGTGTGATTGGCCAGAGTCGATGTCCTTCAGTGGAGGATAAAATTAACATGCCGTACACAGATGCAGTGATACATGAGGTACAGAGATTTGCTGATATCGTGCCCTTGGGGCTCCCACATGCCACCAGCCAGGACACAAACCTCAGAGGCTACCACATCCCAAAGGTCAGTATCCTGAAGACCAGACTACTGGGATCATGGATGTAATGCTTAGAACGTTTTCAAACCACACACCTAAGTTCAGATTTTTGAAATATCAGAGCTAATCAGTAACTTATAATATATCTATGAGTACCTTTGTTCAACGTTTATAATAGTAGAGATAAATAATCTTTGTAGATGTGTGTTTTCCCATTTTGAGGCCTAAATTGCATCTTACTAAATCTCTAGCCAAAGCTATGTTTTTTAATGTTGTATAACGTTTGAAATCCCTTTAAAGTTTTCTGTATCCTCTCTGGGAGGACTTGCCATCCTCATGGCCATTGTCACTGTAAAAAGTCACTGTAAAAAGTATCCCAGGTGTCATGAAACAGGAGGGAAAATCTTTCAATAGGAACGTCTATTTAATTGGGGATTCTTCTTCACATTAAAGAGATTTCCATTTACTTCCTGTTTTGTGTCCAGGGACAGGATATGAGGTGAAATCTCCCCCAATGGAACACAGATTGATACCTTAAATCCCTGTAGCTGTGTTTATATATACTTACATTGTGTCAAGATGGACCAATGTAAGAATATAAATATGGAATTCAGCTTTAATGAGAGGGGACTTTAAGTGACACAAAACTCAGGAGTTAAATCTTAAAAATGCATTTAGGTATCTTAACTATTAACAAAAATGTATTTTATTTGTGTATCACTCGGCTGTAGATCCCCCAATCATCTCTGAATTGGTGCTGACACTGTCCTTCCTTCTGGAGGGTGGCTACTTTTGTTCTCCCTGTGTGTTGTAAAGTGCCATTGATGCACGCTTGCTCCCATGATAGACTACAATCTCATGTTTAGTTTACTAATTTGTATTGACATTGTGGTCTATCATAAGAGCTTGGAGCGGTGTCTACTTTATTACAAACACAATGAGCATGGGGAAGAGTGTCCACCCTCCAGAAGAAAGGACAGTGTCTGCAGCAATTCAGAGATGATTTGAGGATGTACAGCAACATTTTTGTTAATAGTTAAAGTGACATTAAACCCTCAGATTTTTTTAACATAAAACAATACTGTAATGTGTGCCTTACTGTAATCCATGGTTGTTTCCCTTCTCTTTGCTGCTCTTCCTTTTAAATCCTTATCTGTTCTCATGCTGGGCAGAACTTCTGTTCTGCGGCAGACTGCCTTGTCTCTGAAATGGATACATGGTGTCTGTGTGCAGGTTCACAACCTGAGCCAGCACTACAGGAAGAGGCACTCAGCTGCAAAGGGAAGTTCTCCCCCAGCATGAGAAGAGATACAGATTTAAAAGGAAGAGCAGCAAAGGAAGAGAGTGTTTATTGTCACTTTAAGATACTTGAAAGTATTTTTAAGATTTAATTCCTGTGTTTAGTGTCGCTTTAACTTGTCCTCTATCTTGCTTCTTTACTTTCTATAAATGCTGCAGATAAGCAGATGATAGTGTTGTTATACTTGATTATCTGAATATTGTTCTATAATGTAATCCTATTATTATTTTGAACTCGTCCACTGCAGTTTTCATACACTGCCTGTCCAAAAAAAAAAATCACCACCTGTATTTAGCTAAGCAAATACATGTGAAACTCGAATAATTAGAATATCGTGCAAAAGTAATTGCAGTAAGTGCTGCAAAAGGGGCCCAAACCAAGTACTGAGTACATATGCATGCTTGTACTTTTCAGAGGTCCGATATTGTTCTATGTACAATCCTTGTTTTATTGATTGCATGTAATAATCTACTTTTTTGAGGTTGTGGATTTGGGGTTCTTGGGGTTTTCATGAGCTGTAAGCCATAATCATCACAATTATGACAAATCACGGCTTGAATTATCTTGCTTTGCATGTAATGAGTCTATCTCATATATTAGTTTCACCTTTTAAGTTGCATTAGTGAAATAAATGAGCTTTGCACGATATTCTAATTATTCGAGTTTCACCTGTAGGTCAGAGCTTTCCATTGGATAATAGATCTAGGTTCAGCAATGTTATGCCCCCGTTATGAGGTCAGCTGCGTAACTGAATATACTGAATGACCAGGTTTTTCATCAATGGATTTTTCCTCCCTGATGGCTGGGGCATATTCCAAGATGACAATACCAGGATTCATCAGGTTCAAATATTTAAAGAGTGGTTCAGGGAGCATGAGACATCATTTTCACATATGGATTGGCCACCACAGAGTCCAAAACTTAACCCGTTTCAGAATCTTTGGAATGGAGAAGACCTTATGCAGGGGTCCAGATCTCCCATCATCACTACAAGATCTTGGGGGAAAATGATTGTAACTCTGGATGGAAATAAATGTTATGACATTGCACAAGCCTAGTTAAACAATACCACAGTGAATACATGCTGTAGTCAAAGCTAAAGGTGGTCCAATAAAATATTAGAGTGTTTGACTTTTTTGGACATAGTATTTATTTTTTTCATCTTCAACCTTGAATATAACCTGTCTCATCTAAAATCATGAAAAATTCCAAAAATTATAAAGTCACTCACGGCCAAGGTGCTAATGTATTGGTTTATATAAGTAAGAAACAATATTTTGATCAGCGAGGATTGTCAGTTAGTCATGACTCATCAAAGCGTATCTAAACCTAAAAGCAAAAAGGTAATATATTGCAGCTTCCCAATCCTTGGATGTTGCAGCTTTAAATTTTTTTTCATCTGGTGATCTGGTCAGGTCAAGCTGTCCAGCAGAAAGTGTCATATAGCGGGTTGTGTCAAACCATTGAACACTGACAGGGGTGCTTACAATGGTTGGTTTTATTCATTTATGTAAAAAAAAAATGTATCCCCCAAAAAAAACAACAAAAAAAACTGTTGTTGTAACTGCTTAAAAAGTGTTAGCTGGAGTTTGGTTTTAATTTGTTAGACAAGTCCATCTAAATTTGCTAGTCCTTCAAACACTACCCTATCCACAGGGTGACAATGCTGCTGCCTAAAAGTGGCTCTGTTGCTCCTCCATAGACTGGAGCCACTCTAAGAGAGGAGGTGTGTTACTGTCCAGATCTCCAGGTGTAAATAAAGGAAAAAAAGCCTTAAAAAAGAAAACTAATGCAGCCACCACATCTAATGATTGGTAAACTGCAATATATTACATTTTTGGATTTAGATATGCTTGATTCTTACTTCAATATAAAGCTTAATTTGCTTTAGGACATACTGTATATATTGCAAATTAGTCATTGTGGGGCCTTTTTGTTTGTTTTTAAGGTGTAATTTCCATTTTAAACACCCCCTTCCCAAGATACATGAAAACCTTTTTTTTTTTACTTGAGCTGCACGGTTTTTGACTCCTCCTTGCTTTCAAGATGTTTATTACTACAAGTCAAGTATGCTCTAAATTGTAAACTTTCTCTGTTACTCTCTAGGGTACTACTGTGTTTCCTATGTTAACTACCGTCCTAAAAGATAAGAAATACTTCAGGAATCCACAAATGTTTGATCCACAACATTTTCTAGATGATGAGGGAAAGCTGAAGAAGATTGATGCCTTCATCCCATTCTCTGTAGGTACGGTTTGCAATGCTAATTATTCCAAATGTACCTCAGTCTATTGGTGTTTTCCAGCCTTGCTCATTAACTACTAAAAGTACGTGCCCCTATCCCTGTTCCAGAATCGCCAGTGAAATAATGATTGGGGTCCCTTAAGTATGTTACTAACTAAAGCAGATGTATAGCCTGTGTTATCTTCAGATTTAAAGAACCTGGCCCCATCCATTCTATGTTGTTTTGGCATAATAAAGTATTCCAGCTGCCTTGTTCGTTTCCTTCTGAAAATGCTAATGTTTTTTAATGCTTATGTTTTGGCCTCAATTTGGGTCAGTGGTTCAGACGAAGTATAATGATAAGGGATTCTGACCTTTTCTTAGTTTCATTTGCTGTATACCTGTTCTGAGTCTGTGACATAAATATTGACGTCAGACAAGGAAGTAACTAACATTTTCAGGAGGAGACCAAAATGGCTGCCTAGATCATTCTCTCTTGACATGAACACTTTTAATAGGACACCCCCAGTGCTGACAATGTTCCTGGTATGTCAATGTTGTGATGTCATAGTCACACAATCTCCTTTCTTTGGAGTCTTTGGAGCTCATAGTTCTCTGACTAGCTTTGAGGATCAACTGAAAATAACAGGCAGCTTCAGAGGATTTTAAGCTCTGCACCCCCACTCCCCCCTTATGAGCTCTGAAACATTCCTTTATTCTCCTTCTTTATAATGGTTTCCACATGTATAAGACTTGTGGTGGATTAATGACTATGAACCCTGTCCAGATCTTTCTTTGGTCATATTCCACAACCCTGTTCTGGGTGGTTCTGCTTATTCAGAGTCAAAAATGTTTCTGACATAATCAGTTTAGCACAATTTTATTCTGTTTCATTATATCCACAGAGTGTCTTTCCTATCCGATTCTTGCTAATGTGTGTATATGTATGTGGGATCTACAGCTACCTTGGGCATTTCTTGGCTGCTATTGGCAAGGGAGTAAAGGAAATGCATTTCTTTGGATCCCTGACTCTGACAAATGATTGTGCTCTTGTGTCAACTGTGCACAATGTGCTTCCATGGAATACATTGATCACAATTTTACTTGATTTTATATAAAGTATGCTTATATGTGTGTGTTTCAGTATTCCTGTGGCCTTCATCCCATTGTGGCTGACACTGCCACACCACACAATACATCTGTCACCTGGTAGTATAATATGTTTTAAACCTTTAAAATTGTTCTAGTCATGGATGTTGATGGATTCAGTACTATCATAGAGGTCTTGTCACAGTGGAAGTAAAAATGTATACGTGTATGCTGCTTAGAGGATCTCCGTATTCTTTAAACTGCCATAATCCATTGGAAACCTTCACCAGAATAGTTGGCCAATCCCTGTGCAGGCAAAATACACTTTTAAGGTTAGGGATAACACTGAAATCTTACATTTGCAGGAACTGGCTCCTTTATTTTTAAACTAACCAAGACAGATATAGAAGAAGGTAGATGAAATAATGTTTCAGCCCAGAGCAGGCTTTAAAAGGAAAAGTGGGTGGCAAGACCAGTCCTCAATTTCACAAAGATCCCCAGGCGCCACTACTTACCAACACCTTTGGTTGTGCGGTTCCTTTTGATGGCCTCTATATTACTACTATGTTCTGTAGTGATGCAGTAGTCAGTGGGTAAAACCACAGCATCCAGCAGAGCACAGTCTATGTGAAACACCTGGAAGTGTTTGATAGCAGTGAGGTCAGGAGCTCTTTGTGAGAGTGAAGATTGGACCTGCCACCATCAGGTAGCAAAGTATTCAAAGTAGCATTAAACTCCCCTCTTTGTGTATTTTAAAGTATTCACTTCTACCAAGAAAACATACAGCATCAAGTATGTTCCATAATCTCTTACACTTATAACAGTAACTCACTTCTTATGACTCAATGCCGCTTCACAGAACTTCCAGTCGGGAACATGCACTGTATACAGTGGCATAACAACTGCCATAGCGACCCAGGCGGCCGCTATGGGGCCCGGCCACAGGGGGGCCTGGCCAGGGCATCCCTCTGATGCCGTGTGGGCCGCCTGGGTCTCTATGGCATATCAGTGTGCTGACTGTCACTGGCACAGCTCCGCAGCGGCTGTGTCAGTGACAGCCAGCAGCTGCGGCAGAAGATGCCGGTTTCACGAGTGTTCGATCGAGAGTTCTCGGACCCCCGCAGTGAAGGAGGAGGCAGGGCCCACCTAAGAGCAACCCTGCCTCCTCTTACATCACTGGCCAGCGACCTAAGAGCAGGTGGGGCCAGTGATGTAAGAGGAGGCGGGCCTGTCGATAGAAGGAGGCAGGGCCCGGGGACGGAAGAAGAGGGGGGCCCAGCGACCACGGAGCCAGACAGCGCTGACAGGTAAGGTGGGCAGCCCATCTGTGACCCTGCAGAGCCCACTATAGAGAGTCTATGGTGGGCTCTGCAGGGTCAGTCTCAGGTGGGCTCTGCAAGTGGCATAACTAGCAATCACGGGGCCCCATACAAAATTTTGCTAAGGGGCCCTGTGATTTCTAGTTATGCCCCTGACTGTATACTTCACATAATGGTCACATGACTGCCTACAAGGGACTGCTTGGTACCTCATCCTTTGTACCATGATAACAAAGCCTCATTCTAGGCTAAAGCACCCACATAAGGATGGCTATAGCAGGGGTCCAGAGGACCCTGTAAGGCAGTTCAGCCACCCTAAAGACAGAGGCACAATGCAAAGAAGTGACAGGCTGCAAGCAAAAAGCAAAGAGCAAACATTGTAAGTGCGGTAGTATGCTGCTGTACATCACATTTCCCACTGAAGGTTGGGATGCTTAAAAGTGTATGTAGAGACATTTTTTTGTTTTTGGATAGAGAAAGTTTTAATGCTGCCTATGTCCCTATTAGGTAGATTTACCCTCTCTAAACATAAAAAACAACTTGGGGCTTTTCGAGGTGCCAGGAACTGAATGACAATATGTATCTAAAATTCCATCTTTTATTGATATGAATATACATTTTTGTAAAAACAAAAATGGCCATGTGTCCATTTTGTTTGTTGCAAACAAATAGAGTAATGGCATACACAGTTGACTGCATCAATGAAACAAATAATGTACTTAATTGTACAGATTTGACGCGTTTCGCTGTATCGCTTCCTGAGGAGTCCTGAAAGTCCATAATATGACAATTACATGGTGTACACCACAGCATATATATTATTTTAGCCATTTTGCATAATTAAGTCAAGGGTTTTTTACGTTAGTCATTTCACGTACCTGACAGTTCATGGGTCTTAGATCATCCAACACCTGCAAATCACGGGAGCAGAGGGATGGGAGAGAAGGGATAGTAAGGCGAATGTAAAGCGGTAGAGCTGATAACAGTACGCACAGTGTTCCAGCAGGGGCTTTCCGGGAAGATCAAATAAACAGGAACCCACTTTGTATCTATTCATAAAATATATAGGATATTAAGGATATTGTTTTCACTGAATAGATAAATATCTAAACATAGAGATAGCAGAAGGGTCCCAATTAGGGATGTCCCGATGCCACTTTTCAGGCCCAAGTACAAGTACTTCCCCTCATGTACTTGCCGATATCAATTACCAATACTTTTTCCTAAAGGGGCAGGTGATTTTAAATGATCCATAGTACAACTACATGTTATGTACTATGGATCATGATTTAACCTATTCATGTTAGCAGCGGAGAATTGTAACTCTATTGCTGGAGTGTAGTGGAGGTATGTGCTGTATATATGTACTACATATACATTACACACATCCAGCAAACTATAGCAATAGATTTACAGCCAGCCCCCTCCCAGCTTCCCTCACTCACAGTTTCACTCCGATCCCTGTTGCCTCATGTGGTGCCTCTCATAGTCGGCGCTGGGCAGGATCGCTGCATCGCATCTCGGTGCTCAGCTTGTGGGAGGCGCTCGCATTTCTGCCCTACTAACATGAATGGGTTAAATCATGATCCATAGTACATATACAGCACATACATCCAACACTGCAGTAATAGAGTTACAATTATCCCCTGCTAACATGAATAGGTTAAATCATGATCCATAGTACATAACAGTACATAACATGTAGTTGTACTATGGATCATTTAACAAATGCATATTAGCAGGGGATAATTGTAAATCTATCAGAATGCACTGTATTAGCAGTGTGTACTCTATATACTCTATATGTAGTCCCGTTGATAAAAGTACATATAGAGTATATACTGCTAATACATCTAATACAGTGCAGAGAATACATTTACAATTATACTCTGCAGCATTATAGTGTCCCCGCCCCCCCTTGCCCTCACTCACTGACCCGGAGAGAGCAGCGACGAGTCAGCGCTGGTCCGGTGGGAGGAGCTCCAGGTGAGGTTCTAATTGAGCTGACTCAGAGGTGCTGCTACAAGCGGGGTCATCCGGCCACCTAAATTAGGACCCCCCTGTAGCTCCGCCCACCGGAGCAGCAGTGACGCGACGCCGGCGAGGTAAGTAAGAAAAAAAAACCATAGCGCAAGCTTCGGCGCTAGGCATCGGGGCATTTTGACAAATACTTGTCAAAATGCCCTGTATCAGGCCCAATACCGAAGCTAGCATCAGTATCGGGACATCCCTAGTCCCAATAGTCAAATGTCTCACCCAGTGTCTGAGTACAGATTCTCTGAGTAGAATTTCAGCCATTTAGACAGTTTAGAATCACCATTTGGTTGTTGAATACAACATCCCCACTCCCACAGAGTGTTGATCAAATGGGTGTCCTATTTATAAAGACCACAAGTAGTGTTTGTTATAATTTAATGATATCACTGCTTAGATGTTAGTAAGCCTCTCTGTTCATTCTGGTGACCAAAATCCCAAATTTGACTTTTGCCACCAGAACAAGAGGTATAGGAACATTTGTGTCAAAGACAACTGTTCTAGAGGGGAATGACCCTCAAATCATAGGTATTTCCTCTCACTTCCTGTTGCATCTCCTGGACAGAACTTAAAGTGCTATACTCCTCACTGGGCACAGACATTAAAAAAAAACTGGACTGGCTACATTTCATACTGTACTGAAAATATATATATATATATTCATTTGTTTTGTGTATTTATAAGTGATGGGTTTTATCACTTTTCTTTCTCCAACAGGTAAGAGAATCTGCCTTGGAGAGAGTCTTGCCAGGATGGAGATTTTCCTATTTCTTACATACATTTTACAAATGTTTGATCTGCAATGCAATATGAACACTGAAGAGATTGACATCTCTCCTGTGCCCAACAGTGGAAGCTTTATTCCAAGACCTTACATGATCTCCATGAGCCAACGCTAAGCTGCAAACCCATACCTTCAACTTAAGAAGATGTTCTCTTGGTAATGATCTCTGATATGCAGAGGACTGTTACCAAGCTAGTTCTTACAAGTCAATAAAGGATATACAGTATTTTTTTTCTTTAGCAAACAAAAAAAAGTATTGAGAGCAACATACAATCACTAGACATTTGCAACGGCAAGAAATCCGTTTAGTTTCGCTTTGATTCGGATTTTGCGTTATTTCGTTTTTCGGGATCGAAAGTAAATTAGTTTCGGGAATCGGACAAAATGCATTAGCCGTAGTCTGTACGAAATGTAATTACTGTTTCGTGGCAGCAAATTGACATTGGAATATAATATCTTTTTTTAAATGTCACTTTGCTGCAACAAAAATTAAATACAAACGAAAATTCGTACAGACTACCGCTAACGAATTTCGTCCAAAATTTAGTTTTCGGAAATTTGGATTCGTTTTCATTCATCATTTCTGTTATTCAAAAATTCTAATACATCTGAATCTCCGAACTAACGAAAATTTTTCCGAATAACAAATTTTTCCGAAACAAATCGCATGTGTCTAGCAATTACAAAAACATTCTCACCTAAAAACACATAATTTGGAACTATATATATTACACGTTATAGATTTCCGATAAAAATAGGAACAATCATTACAATAGCTAGAAGTGAGGTTGGCTTTTTGAAAAAATATTTTTTTTTTTCTGCATACCTAAAAAAAATGGTAATGAACAGGGAAAAGTAGAAGCAAGCGTTATGAAAGGAGATAAAGGGGAAGCTTGAGTGTGTTAAGTCGGGTATACATGGTATGAATTCAGGAACTGGAAACAATTCGCACAATGGGTGTCCCTGTTGGCACCGACTTTCCTTGATCAGCCTAGAAACAAGGATGCATAGGGGTTTAGACAGTGCCACTTCCTAATATCAATGGATAAGAAAGAACAGAAAAAAAATACTTTTTAGGCAACACCATGACCACTTCAATTTGTATAAAAAAAATATATATTTTATTGTGTACATTGTTTGTTAGAAATATATAGCAAGGTTAAAATCATCAACATATATAGTCTTATTTACAAGACTGTGATATTGTTTGCCTATCATGAACCTGCACCTCCTCAACTGGTATACAATAGATAGTTAACCAAGTAACTTCTATGCAATATCATTAGTATATAACAATGATAATTATAGATATTTTTCCATGGGGAGGTGTTCAACTCATGCTCTACGCATTTCGTCGTACCACCACTTCTTCAGGAGCTTATGGGCATACACTATAATGTAAAGACCAGCATTATGAGTAACTTTTAACAAGTAAACATTGATAACATTGATATGCTGAGTTTCAGACAAGTTAAAATATATTCATATTTTGTGGTTCACACATTTTTCTTACATCTTGGCTCAAAAATAGATTAAAAAAGATTAAAAAAAGATAAAAATCCCTTGATCAGCAGATTGATGGAGCAGGCTGAAAAATTCTTGGCCGAACGGTGCCTGCAGCCAATCAGCTGCAAACTCCGTTCCAGTATTCTGACATAATGGGCCTAATTGTAGAGCGCTTTCTCCCTCAGAAAGTTACATCTCCCAATAGCAAAGAAAAATGTATTGCCAGCGTAGCCCCAACCTAAGACATCCTCAGGACCACTGACACTCTGCTATGAAAATACTGAAGCAGAGAATGCAAGAAGTAGATACAAAGGGTGAGATATTTATATTGTAAAGCGCTGAGCAAACTGTTGGCGCTATATAAATCCTGTATAATAATTTTATTAAAAAAAACAAATGATGTCTGCTCTGTATTTTAAATGCAAACAGTATAAATAATTGCATTTAACTTTCTTGTAATGCCCTCTACAATGGCACTCAGTGAGGGAGAGGGAGGTCTAGGAACCAATCAGATGTGAAGCATGCACATGTGCTGACAAGGAGCAAGCTGACAGGAGGAGAGAGTACAAAGCAAGTACGAAGCTAGCAGAAGCATGGTCCTCCACTGTCCAATCAGCATGCTGGGTGTACATCTTAAGCAGGGGCTGACTGGCAACTTTTAGCCCAGGGGGCAAGTACAACCCAGAGGCCCATGGTGCAGTGACTCGGCCCCCTCCCGCTCTGCCTCTGCCCCCACTTCCCCCCGCCCGTCTGCCACTTTGGCAATCCATGTAACGGTAGTGTGAACGGTCGGGTGATGTGAGGACTCCTAGTAAGTCCATAAAAGGGGTGACTGGCTGGGTGATGGTGCTCTCCTCCCACTGGGCTCCCTACCTGGTTCTGGCCTCCACTCCATGTCCACTACTTAGGCACTCTCACCCACTGCAGACCGCCGCTGGCTGTCCATGCTTCTGGGCTGTGAGCTGTGAGAGGTTAGTGGGAGGTGCCGGACAGTGTCAAAGTCAGTGTTCTACAATTTTTCTCGACCCCATAAATTTTTTCGAACCCGTCACTTATGGTGGGGCCGCGTCATCTGAATCAGCTGTGTTCATGACCCCCTTTCTTCATGCACATGCGCACCTGGAAGTGATGCAGCAGAGAAATGTATGGGTTGGGGAAAATTATAGAACACTGGTAGTGGAGGGATGCTTCGTCAGTGTGCTACACGAGCGCTGCAACCCTGGTAGTTGTGCCACTGACTCAGAGTGTCAGTGTAATGCAGAGTGCAGAAGTCAGCGGTGTGATGCACAGTGCAGAGGTGAGCGGTAGGACGCACAGTGCAGAGGCCAGCGGTGTAATGTAGAGGTCAGCATGTATGCAGAGGCCAGCAGTGTAATGTTGAGGTCAGAGATCAGTATGTACCCAGTGCAGAGATCAGCGGTATAATGTAGAGGTCAGCATGTATGCAGTGCAGAGGCCAGCGGTGTAATGTAGGAGGTCGGAGGTCCGCATGCACGCAGTGCAGAGGCCGGCGGTGTAATGTAGAGGTCGGAAGTCAGCATATTCTTCTCTTCCTCTCCTGGTGGTGGTGGGGGGGGGCAGTGAAGTTGCCTGCATCTTCTGAGGCAATGCCTTCAGTCGCCTCATGCTGTCTCCTGGCTTTAGGTCCCGCTCAGCATATCCTGCAAGCCAATCGGGTGCAGCCTCCCTCCCGCTGCATGGGCATCAAATGATTATGTTTCTCCTTTAAAAACGTCCCCCGGCGCCGCTGCAGCGGAAAACACTTATTTTATTTCTCCCTTCTCAGCCGCGGCCTGAGAGGGGAGAGGTAAAAACGAGTGATTACCGCTGCGGCGGCGCCGGCGGGGGCCGTTTTTACATTCATCAGAGAGGCCCGGGGGGCAATTGCCACTCTGCCCCCCGGCCCAGTCAGCCCCTGATCTTAAGTCTGAATGTGCAGAAATTCAATGATTTTAGGCTAAAAATGATGATGTGAAAATCTCCCTTAATGTGTTTAATTTGTGTATTTAGCTGTTTGTCTGGAGGTTACCTTTAATACTTGATGAAGGAGCACTATGGGTTATCTAAAGAGTCAGCACAACAATAATCAGGGGCATCCCTAGCATTTTTTTTTTGGGGGGGGGGGCGTTGTGGTGTTGCTGGCAGTGCACATTCACGGTAGGGTGTTAGAGTTCTGTTGGTGGTCCAGCCTAACAGCGTTTGGTTGCCTCTGGTTGGTGGTCTCTGCATCATCTGGCTCTGGCCAGCATCCCACCCAGCTCATTGACGTCACTTGGCGCCAGGAACTCGGCGGGACGCTGGCCAAAGCCACTGGTTACCAGGAGCTGGGTGGGAAGCCAGCTAAAGCCTCCCACATGGTTATGAGCTGGGCAGAGAGATCTGTATGGTCCTTACACATTTCCCCACCCAGCTGTTAGCAATCAGGGACACTCTGGCTGGAAAGGGGACAGCAGGCAAACTGCAAATATTGTTCCCCCCAAAGAGATGTCATCTGAGGCAACAGCCTCAGGCTGCCTCATTATAACAGTGGCCCTGGCAGTAATGATCTCCTTTCATATATCCTGCCTTTGTTTGAAACTTTGAATGAAACCATATGGAGGAAGTCTTCTGTCCCCATATATAACTATTGACCCATCACTATAATACACTGGCAAATGCGTGAACTTTAATAAAGTGACAACTTTAGGATGGATGATTTGCTTTGTCGATTTTTTGCCATGGCCTCCCATAAGCCTTTAGCAATTAGCTGTTGTATTGCTTATTTAAAAATCCTGACCATTTTGTGGTTTACAGCAAAGGTTGGATTCACACAGATGACAAAAGAAGGCACTTGCTGGGTGTTTCCTAAGCAACAGGCCAAAGTAGTGAACTGAATCAAATGTACGTTGCTCCACTTGCTAACCCACCGCCCCCCACTCCTAACTGGAAGAGTGAAGGAGGCTGAATTCTGCTCTTCTGCATCTGGGTGATTTCAGGCAAATGGAGATAAATTAATAACACTTATTAATAGAGTAATATGCCAAGCAAATATTGCAAAAACCAAAGCCAAGCACGCCCTTGTTTACCAAGGAGCTGGACCTTTTCCCTACATACCGTCCATTATAGCTGTCTGCCAAAATGGCTTTGCAAGCATGATTTAAATTACTTTGTTTTGAATAGTCTGTAAATGTTGGTTTACTCTGAAAGTTATAACAAAATTATTTGAGCTATGGAGTTTTATATAGTATGTGCAGAGAATTGGTGAGGGCAATTCCCCCAAGGTGCCATGCTAGCATAGGAAGTATATAGGAGGGGCTTCTTCTGGTTTCTCTGACTTAAAAATATGGTCCACAATAACCAATTAATGTAATTTCTGTAGAGTCATCAAAAAAGATGGCAAAATTACATTATAATACATATACATTATATTATATACAAATTCAAAATAAATCAAAAAATTCTACCCCAAATATAATAAAAGGTCTTGCATATTTATAACCAATAATACAACCTGTTGATGACGACAGGGGCCTCATTTCAACATCCTGTCCCTAAAAGGGGTGTGGGGATCTGTGGGAGGGCTTTTTAGAATATGGAAGCCACCATATGTACTCATTCAGGAAAATACAGGAAATAGAAGAAAAAATAGAAAATAAAAACACACACCTTTAAAAAAATGCACTTGGAAGAAAGAAAGACAATGTCT